CCCAGCTACTTGGGAGGCAGAGGCAGGAGACTCGCTTGAGCCCAGGAGTTGGAGGTTGCTGTGAGCTGTAATGCCACGGCACTGTACCCAGGGGGACAGCTTGAGGCTCTGTCTCAAAAAAAAAAAAAAAAAAACAAGTAAACCTTAACATCTTACGACAAGTTTGAAGAACTTTCTGAAGAACAGTTTGCATTCTCAAATCAACAGATAGATAATCTTATAAATGATCTTCCCCACCCTCTGGAGCAAGGGGCAGAGAGTATGTACGGAGAGCATGCAAAAACAGGCAGAGTCAAGAGTCTCCGGGCTCACCCGGCCCAGTTGTCCCTACCCATCAGCAGGGCTAGAGCCTGGGATAAAATGTGAGCGGAAGTAATACCATCTTCAACCCCTAACCCCACTCTCCAGTTTTCAACATGTTTCCCTGTTGGGCACTGTTCCCCCCTACCCTTATCTTGACCAATTCATCTCAGCCATTGAAGCCCAAAATTCAGATCAGCTTACTCTGACACAGCCGATGTGTGGCTCAGCTGGAGCCACAGCTTGTAAAAACAAGCTACATTGATCATGTCAGAGTAGGTCATGATTCATGAGTCTGGGCAAAAGTAAAGGAGGAACTATTTCCCGTGCAGGAGGGAAGAAGCCGAAGGACCCCTCACTACGTTTATAAGCATAAATCAGTCTGCTGGAGCGACCTGCCCACAGCCCAGATGAGACCCTTGGATTTCTTGGTGAAAAGGTGACTACACCTTTCTCTGCCTTACCCTATATTCTGATCCCTCAGTCAGGAGCTCAGCGGAGTTCCTAAACTACCACAGTCAGAGGTCTAAAGCCTCAGCTTAGCAACAGGAAGGGGCAGGACAGAGTGGGCAATGCTTTTCAAGCAGACTTTGTTCTAGCTACTGGTCCAGATGTTATCACATTAATCTTCACAACTCTGCAAGGTAGTCTAGAATCAAGAGTATGGAACATAGGTTCCAGAGTAAGGCTGCCTAGGTTTGAATCCTAGATCTATTACTTACTACCTGGGCAACAGTGGGCAAGTTACTACCCTCTCTGTGCCACAACTGTCTTATCTGTAAATGGAACCTATAATCAAGAATCATGGGGAGAGTCAAATACATACAGGGGCCTCGGACACTATGTGGTCCACACTGAGTGCTAAGGACAGAGCAAATAATAATGTATTTAGGAGTGTTGCCATTATTATTACTTAATAATTATCATTACTTTTTTTTTTTTTTTTTTTTTTTACAGAGCCTCAAGCTGTCCCCCTGGGTAGAGTGCCGTGGCATTACAGCTCACAGCAACCTCCAACTCCTGGGCTCAAGCGAGTCTCCTGCCTCCGCCTCCCAAGTAGCTGGGACCACAGGCGCCCGCCACAACGCCCGGCTATTTTTTGGTTGCAGCCGTCATTGTTGTTTGGCGGGTCCGGGCTGGGGATTCGAACCCACCACCTTAGGTGTACGTGGCTGGCGCCCCAGCCAGTTGAGCTATAGGCGCCGAGCCAATTATCATTACTTTTATCCGTATTTTATAGTAGAGCAAACTGATGCTTAGGGAGGTACTATAATTTACCCATGGCTATCCAAGTAATGGATGGTGGAGACGAGCATCTCACACCAACTCTGGCTATTGTCTAAGGTACTATTCTCTCCATTATGCCAAGATGTTTTCCAAAAACTACCTCAAACTTAAATGAATCTGATGTCCTACAACCTAAAATCTAACTGCTAATTAAAAGGGCGTAATCTTGTGGACTGCAGAGCTTCCAAAGGTGAACACACTCCCATGCGGCAATAGATACAAAGGTCAGAGCGGATCAGGGTACTTCAATTTATACTTGAGCCAGCCCCAAATGGTGTTGGATGCTTTTGAAATCTATTTACCAAGGCCACAAAATATAAAGTACCAGAGACAGCCCACTGAGCAGAGACAGGTACACAGTTTTGAACACGCACTCTCCTAACAGCAGATTCTTATGGACAGAACCCCAGCCAGGGCCCGGACACTGGCTCGCAATCTGTTCTGTAGTCACCTGAACTGCTAGGATATCACAGAGACTGGACGAGCCACCTCGCCTGGGCCCAGGGGTCACCTCTCATAGCATGTCCTTTCCCGTGGATCCTGAGCCAGCAGCCCCCACCACCACCTAGAGCAGCGGATCAAGCGCCACTTCCTGGCCTGCTTCATCCATTCTTCCTGGATCTTAAGCCAGCCGCAAATGGTGCTGGATGCTTTTGAAATCTATTTACCAATGCCACAAAATATAAAACATGTATTTAATAATTGGGTGTTTCTCATCTGGAAGGTAGAGCTCTAGGAAGACAACGTGATACTGAGCAGAAATGAGCCTTGGCTGCACCCCTGGGATTCAGTCATCTGTCCTCTCTGAGAGCCACTGTCCTTGTCTGTGGTGCAGGATGTCACAGGCCCTCTTTACTTCAAGGAGTATTAAGAGGCTTAGGCATGATAAGAGATGTGAAGAAAACTTTGGGAAAGTACAAAGTGACCAGTGAGTCAATACTGCTCCTTCCGAGGACAGGGCCTGGGTCTGGCTTTTCTTTTGGACATTCCAGACTGCCCAGCACCCAGTAGTGACTGATTATCTCGTCCCAAGGAAACTGAGCTCAGGTTTTGAAGATGATGCTGAATGTGCTCCGCGAATTCGGAACCAGAGAAGCACCCAAGGGAGCGCGTTCCTATCGGACACTCTTCCTGCACCTGGTTCCAGTCCAGATTCTCTGTCATGGCTACACTGTGTGTTCCTGAAACAGGAACATGCCACCTGAATTCCAAGCATTGATTCAGTGTCATGTTTGGGGCACATACACCTCCCTCTCCTTCCTCCTAGAGGCCCAGTGAGTTAACAAGGCTGACCCTGCAACAATGCAGGTAATGATGGAGCAGCAGGCTAGAGGACAGGCCAGAGGAAAGCGAACAGGTAGGAGCCAGGAGAAAACAAAGAAGCTGCCTAAAATGCCAGACCAGTAGGACCTCTGGGGAAAAGAGATACTTGAGGGAACAAAAGAGAAATCCTAATAAGCTGATAAGAATTTTCAAGACAGTCAAGGGTTACTGTACCCATAAAACATGAATAGGCTGCTAAGAAAAAGGAGCAACCAGGAAATCAGAAAATAGTTTTTGATTTTTAGGAACTTTATTATCAAAATAAACATTTTAATAATGACCTGCTTAATATTAACAGAATGATTTAAATTATTCTAGAATAGAAAATTTAAAAACGAAGCTAGTAACCTGGATGATAATGACAGGAAGACAAAGACAGAAGCACAAAACCAGTTCAGGGCTGGGCAGAGCCCCGCTGCAGGTCCTGCAGGCTGGGCAGGGCAGGGGCACCGCTGTGGGTCTCCTGCCCACTGAGCTCTGGGGCCTCCACAGTGCTGCATTTCTCAGGTGCTCACTAAAGGCCTGAGCATGAGCATGAGAGCCTGCCTGGATGAGCAGGGACTTCTGGCCTACCTCCCTTCCCACCTCTTCAGGAGGAGCACAGAACTGCCAGCCACTCAGCGAACCACCAGTCATTGGTGGGTCAGCAGGTAGTCCTTTGGGCTGGCTCCCCTGGGAGACCTTAAAATTCCAGTGACATGGCTCGGCACCTGTAGCTCAGAGGTTAGGATGCCAGCCACATACACTGGGGCTGGCGGGTCGAACCCAGCCCAGGGCTAAACAACAATGACAACTACAACAACAACAACATCAAAAAATAGCTGGGTGTTGTGGCAGGTGTCTATAGTTTGAGGTTGCTGTGAGCTGTGATGCTACAGCACTTTACAGAGGATGACAAAGTGAGACTCTGTCTCAAAAAAAAAAAAAAATTCCAGTCCACATAAGCAGAGACAGTGGCTCCTGCTTGGGACCTTGCTGGCATCATACCTGCATAAGCAGCAACCTTCGACTTGCAAGCCAAAAATCCTAATGTAAAGATGTTTAAATCATCATTCCTTTCTCTCCACCCTCTTGAAAAACATTTGTGATCTCCTGGCCTGGCACCTAGCAGGCCATTTGTTGAATACATGCTTCGTTCTGAGAAGCACTGCTTAGGCATCTGGGAAGCCTAACAGGCCATTTGTTGAATACATGCTTCGTTCTGAGAAGCACTGCTTAGGCATCTGGGAAGCCAGGAATGACTGAGGTACTGTAAACAGTTTCCAATCTTGGACTCCAGTGACTTGTGCCACTGACGTATGCAGATGCCCTGAGTCAGAGCCATTCCTTAACCGGTGTACACAGTCTCAGAGGCTAACAGGTTGCCAAGGTGCCCTTGGCCCATGCTGGGAGCTGGTGTAACCTCCTTCCTCCCATTTGGGCCTGATAACAGACATCAGGTAAACAAAAGATATATATTACAATAATTACATCTAACCTTGTCCTCAATTTGTTCCAAAAAGAAACAACAGAACACTTCCATGTTTTTAGGCCATTTTTGGCTACTGCTGTTAAGCACAGACATTCTGAGTACGAGGACTGGGTTCCTCCTCTCCCCTGAAAGGTGGCCTCGGAGAAAGCCCTCCTCTTTGCTCCACTAACCACAGAAGGTATCACAGAAGGACCCGTCCTCACTGCTGGTGACACCTCCCCCCAGCACACATGGCTCTCCTGGTCCTGGCC